ACAGAACTCAACCAATACAAAAGTATAGAGGATCAATTGCGCTCTCTCTCTCTCTTTCTCTCTCTCTCTCTCTCTCTCTCTCTCTCTCTCTCTCTCTCAGACCCAGGTCCTTCACACGAGCTACACCCCCTTTTTAAATATTTTTTACAGAGAGGGTCTCCCTGAGTCACCAAGTTTCCCGGGCTGGGCTCAAACTCACAATTCTCCTGCCTCAGCCTCCCAGAGTGCTGAAATTAGAGGCATATGCCACCATGCCTTGCTTTTTATTGATTGTCGCAGCTCTAAACTTAGAATCATAAGAGGAAACATTGCTACTGGTGCTGCAGCACTGTCAATGTTAACATTAGTGTGATAATGGTAAGAGACGTTTTGAGGTCACCATTCCAGGGCTCATAACATAACTCTACAGTGCTATCAGGGACCTGGGCTCTTCCGTCTTCCTCATGAACCACAGTTACATACAACTTTTATCTTCATGTCTGCGAGCTGCCTAATTTCTCCTCCAGCTCTGTGTCCTCATTTCATGCAAGAAAAAGTAGAAGAAAGAAAGGCAAAAGGCAAAGCTGAATCTACTTCCTTTTCACCAGTTCCAACCAGCACCTTTTATTTACCTCTCACTGGGTAAAACTGTGTTACACAATCACCCCTAGCTGCAGTGGATGCTGGGAAATGTAGTTTTAGCCAGCCACATCCCCACCTGAAACACTGAGTTTAAAAAAAAAAAAAAAAGAGGGGCATGGCTATTGAATAGGCAGTGTCTGCCATGGTACTGCCATTGAAGGCAAAATACAAGACTGCAAGTGCATGGTGTTTTTACTACTTGTCTTATGTTAGATAAGAATAAATTGTAAAATGATGAAGGGGTAGGATCTACACACAAAGAGGGGAGCATCGGGTAATAGCTGGATAATTTAATCAACCTAGATCATCTGCTTCTACAGATGGTCCATGCTTGTGCATAAACCATATACTGTAGTAAATTTAGTTCTTCTGATTTCCTTTTCATTGGGAGTTACAGCTCTAAAATTAGTGCCACAGGAGGGACCATAGCTACTGGTACTGTGCTGCAGCATTGCCAATATCAACTCATAAATGGAAGATCAACTCAAAGACATGAGGTGGGGAAAGAAACATTCTCCCAAACTGAGCAGGCTGCCTCCTTTCACTTTAACTCGGGCAAAAATAATTCTATAGCATCTCAGAAAGACTGGTGATGGTTCTCTTCATAAATTCCCAGACGTTCTTCAGTTTTCATCTTCAGACAAGAGTTTGCCTATCTAAATAAAACACAAACTGTTTAAATCTTTACTTTGCAATCCACTCTTCCTGAGAGCCTTTATGCTGTTAGATTGATTTAAGTAGGGCACTCAGAAGCTAGGAGATAGCTAGAGTGACGGGGTGATGTTCTCAAACAGGGTCTCTGGGAGGGATTCTGCAAGGCAGATGTGCAATGTGTCCCTTTAAGAAAAGATGAAGAAAGACCTTTTCTTGCACTGTGAGCAGACCAGTCTGTCCTCTCCTGTCCCACATTTAAAATCCAGGTTACCGGGCTGGGGATTTAGCTCAGTGATTTCCCCCCTTGCTGCACAAGCGCAAGGACACGAGTTAGATCCCCAGTACCAAAAAAACAAAACAAAACAAAACAAAATCCAGGTTACCAAATAATGGCTATTCTCAAATCTTGTTATTGATTAAATAAAATAAAGTTTCATCTTATGAGACCCATTCATAGACATCATCCCCTTATGCTAGGGTTTTCAGTTTCTGGACAGTTTGGGGTCAAAGAACCAAGGTTTCCAGTGAACTATGCTTTGGAGGAGGTACAAGAGTAATAGATAGTCAGAGATTGTGATTAGCATTTCTTCATTACTTCCCATATTCCAACTACTTTGCAAACACTGAGTTAGTGTCAGGGGGACAGGGTGGTTGGGGAGATGGAGCAATGCCACAATTGTCTGCATAATTCAAGCCAAAACATACTGGAACCCTGGTCCTCTGACTATTCCCAGCAGAAGCATTGTGGCCTGAATTGCTCAGCCAGCAGCCCAAACTATTTACTTCTCTTTTATTGTGTAGGCACAATCCAACTCAAGTTATCTTGACCATCCTGCTGGAAAGGTACTGGACTGTTATTATCTGCTCTGCTTTCCATGGAGGGTCTTTGAACCAAACAGTTTAAAGGGTTGGTTTGGTCTAAGACTAAGCCTGGAATACTCTTTGGTGGTGGATTTCTTATCAGGAAAACTTCAAGAATCAGATAAAGAAATTAATCAGATTCAATCATTGTTTTCTCAGACATCTAAGCAACATGTTAAATAGCAGCAAAAATACATTTCCCAACTCTTCTCCTAAAATACAAGTTTTAGTAGTAGGAAGAATAGTTCATTATAGAGAAATGCAAAGGACTCTTTTATTATTATTCATTAAGTTTATTGGTACATTTTAGGTATACAATATGATAACATCCATCATTAGGAATTTGTACCTTTATATGATATATCTTGGTTCTTTTTTTTTCCCCCATTCCCCTGCGCTCCCTTAAACTGTTCCACCTCTCCCTATTTACAAAGACTTTGTTTCCATTTTTTTCCTTTTCTCATATCTATTCCTTTCCATATCCCTATCCCTCCCACTTCCCCTTCCCCTTTGGACCTTTTCTTCCTATTTCACATTATCTAGTATACATTTTGATCCTTATTTACACTTTCAGTTTCTCACACCAGAGAAACTATTCAGTATTTACACATGTGTGTCCTATTTATTTCACTTAAGAGTATAGCCTCAATGTGCATCCATTTAGCTATAAATGTCCCTAGTTTCTGGTTCTTTACCCAATTCTAATTGTTAATCAACAGTGCATCTCAGTTGGTACAATGAAGTTAGGGCCTGACTTGCAAAGATCCCTAAGCAATTAGGAAGCAAATACTGGTGTCATTCTGTAACTTACACTCTTAAGTCATGAGCAATACATTCAGATCCAGCTGTCCTCCCTAACACCACTAGGGAGGTTTTAGGGTTGGGTAACCAGAGATAAAAGTGAGAGAACCGTTGTTCAGTCATCTTCTCTTTGGGGTGTGATAGAGAAGTCCCAAGCCTACTTTCCTCTTTCTCTCTTTCTTTCTATGTGTTCTGGATCAATCAAAGAATAATACATTAAGCTTCTGTTGCATTGAACAATCCCTCAGAATGCCAGGGCAACTGCCACTACAAGGATGTGCCAGCAGACAAAGCCATTGCAGAGAGGTGGCTGGATAGGTTAACAGAGACACTGCCCCTGGCCACATCTCTTGAGAAAAAAGGAAAGGCAAGCAAAAACATGAAAATCATCCAGCTTTCTTTGCCACTGCATGTTTTAAAGAGGAAGCAGACATGCTTTCTGAGTTCTCTCCTTGGCCTCTTCAAATATTCACAATATGATCTGTGTGCATTTCATTGTCAGGCCATTTCTGAACTTGGATACTTGGAGTCATTAATGTTTTGATACCAGATGTAACCCCTTTGGCTGGGTCAAAGGGACTGTTGAGGGGACAGGGAGTGCATGTGGAAATAGTGTGCTGGAATATAGCTCCCAAACCCCCAAACATGCCCAAAAATAACAAGATCATTAACCGCTGACCCAAACGCTGGTGAAATTCTATCTCCACATCTCCTCCCACCAGTAAACATGAAAATCCCATCCTTGAAGGGCTGAAGGAAGCCTCCAGTGAGAGGTCCAGGGAGAATGAGAGGAGGAGAAGAAAAGCTAATTTGGCAAAGACGTCCAGCAACTTCCACACTCTTCAATCACTAGAAAACCTTTCCTCTAGTGACAAATAAATAGATGTGTTTCACTAGATGAAAAAAGCAATGGATCTGCACTTTTTAGAATAAATGCATTAAACTTCAGAATGCATTTTTGTCAGTTTTCTTTGCTGTCTCCATCTCTCCATCCTCATCTCATATGGTTCTCTTGTTCCTTCACTCTATACCAGCCTCCCTGGCCTTTCTGGCTTCCAAATTAGCAAAGTTAATTCCTACCATACTAGGACTATGTTATTTGCTGTTCCCTTTACCAATATACACCCCCACATCATTATAGGGTGCTCTCTTCTCTTGCTCAGATCTTACCTCAGGTGCCACCTTCCCAGAGAGGCTTTTCCTCATCACCTGTCTAATATTTTCTGTATCATTTCTTTCCTCTGTTCTTAGCAGTCACTAGTCTCTAATCTGAGTTTGCTTGCATGCTTATTTATTTATTTACTTAGTTAGTGTTTATTCCTCCCAGATACATGTATATTCCAAAAGAATAGGTCCTATGTCTGTGTTATTTATTGCTGTTTCTCCTAACCCTAGCAAGCACTTGGCATTTGTGGATTGGATGGAGGAATGGATAGATGAATTGACAGAGGATGGATAGTAGGATAGAAGGATGGATGGACATGGATGACATGGATGAGTAGACAGAAGGATGGATGGATGGATGGATGGTAGCTGGACATGATACATGCATGAATCGACATGGATAGATAGATGAATGGATAAATGAATATAGTCAATGATTTTGCTATAGTATTTTATCCAGCTTGGTCAGATCTTTTGCTTCACATCCCATACCAAAGAAACCAAACTGGACGCAAGGACTGTAGCTACAGCCAGGATGGTTAATCAATTGAAAGTATAAAAAGGAAATTCTAACCCACCTCCAGCTTTAAATGAGCATCTATTCTCTTTCAAAATAGCTATTTTTGTTTTTATGTACATTGATGCTTCATAAACAGTTCATAACTCATTAACTCTCAGAAAAATCCTAGCTAGCAGACTGAGAGAAGTTTCTTGATGATTTTGCTTTCTAAAGATAGTAACTTAAATCATGTGGTAGCAGAATGAATTGGAAATACTATGCTGGTTTAACTCCAGCCACTGGACTTGTCCTTGCTCCTGAATTTAATGTACTGTTAAGTGTGGCATTTTAAGTCATGTGCCTTTAGTTATTTATTTGTTTGGTTATTTGTTTGTTTTAGAATAACCTTAACCTGGAAGGTGACTCCACATCAGAAACCAGCTTTCCTCTCTCCAAAGAAGTACCAGGGGAGCCTCTGAACCACCACGCTACACATCAGCCCTTTTCCAGGCAGCAATTCCCAGAAGAAACTGGCCACCCCTCCTTGCAAAGAGATGGCCCCAGGTCCTTTCTCCTGGACTTGCCAAACTTTCCAGATCTTTCTAAAGCTGATATCAATGGGCAGAATCCAAATATCCAGGTAATTTTTGGCAGCCAGAAGGTGGAAGGAAATGAAACAATCTGTCTTTTGTTTCCTGATCCAATTCCAGTGGAAACTTCTGCCTTCCTTCACTTTCCTTCTTAACCCCTTAAGGATTCCTGCTTCTGATCTTGTTATTGCCTTCAGAACAGTGCTGTCTTTCTCCTATAAGGCACTCCTGATTGTGGGGTGCACCATTATTGTATGAGCCACTCAAAAAATGAAATCAGAATACATATGGCACAGCAAGGATTATAAAATATATCCTGATTTCAGAAACAAAACAAATAGTACACCCTAAAGTCCATGAAATGCTATCGCTATGGGAAGAGCCAGTCTGGCTGGTGAATACACTAGACAAATCATGGTAGGGTTTCAAAGCACTCAGGAAGGCACTTCCACTCAATGCCTCAAGCTTGCCTTCAACCCCAGAATTTCTTCAGGAGAGGATTATCTTCAGTTGCCCAAGTGTGAGTGACCAACTTAAAAACAATATAAGGAAAGGAAGTGAGAATGGGCACTCTTAAGAGAGAGGTGAATATTTTCTGATAAAATGAGATTGAATGAAGCAGAGAGAAATGGAGGTGAGGGAAAGTACCTGGGAGTGAAAATAATAACACTCCTCTGTGCTGAAATAGGCCAGTTTGCTTCACAAAGTAAACTCGAATCTGATTTGATTCTCCAGACACCCACAGGAAGGAGACAAAGCACCTGTCATTTTCCCCAATATTTAACACAGCAGGCACTCTGGAAGGTACTGTTTGGTTCACTCAAGGTCACACAGCTAGTAAATAGTCATTGTCAGGCTCAAACTCAGACTCCCAAGATACTCAGCCCCCAATCCATGCTTGAGGAGCAGATTCCTAATTTGGAATGTTGCTTGCATCTCCCTCTGTTTCTTCCCAAAGATGACTGCTCTGATAGCTGAGGGAGGCTCAACCCCCTGGGCCATCTTGCCCCTACCTAACTCCTATCCTCATAAACCTGCTTTCATACTTTCAAGTTTTGTTCCTGATTCATTTCATTTGTAAAGATAGCTTTTGCTCCAAACACCAATAGCTTATTTGTCTGAAATTTTCTGAACTTGGTCTCAGAGCAGTTGATGCTTAATGAAGTTCATTTGTTCTCTCTCTCTCTCCAACCTCTACATGATACAGTGTTAGATAAGGCTGGATGACAGATATCACTGAGAAGACACCTTAATGAGAATACCATCAACAGACTCTGCTGTGTATAAAACAATGCATTAGGTTACAGGAAATTAAGAATTGGAAGAACTGTTCCCTCCAGGAAGTAACATAGGTGGCACCATCCCAGCTACTATATAAGACAGTGCCACAGGGGTTCTGGAGACAGAGAAAGAAAAAGCCCTGTGTTCTGAGATGGGCAGATGTGGATAGATGGGAAGAAGCAAGGTAGGGCTCTCTGGGTGCTACAGAGTGAGAAATGTTTTGGAGGTCACAATGACTCACGCACAGAAATCATCACATCCCCCAATTAATATTTCTGATGTGTCATGTATTGTACTTGATTAGTTGGAAAATCAGACCTTTTGCCCAGTGCCTCCTCTCTAGGAACTGGCCACTGGGTGCTCTGTTAAAGAGCAGTGGGTCTACATTGGGGAGGTACCGATTAACAAAAAGGCACAGGCATCTCCACACCTCTGCTCCACTTTGCTCCCTATCATGGCTTCCTCTTCAGGAAGCAACTGTTTTTAGATTTTATGGCTCCAGGACCAGGCATCCCTCACCCCCAAGGGTGCTTAGTCCATGCCCCCAAACAATCTTAAGTCTCCTGTGGCTGTATTTTTTGCCTAGAGGCAGAGAATGTCACTGTGGAGCTTAATGATGAGGACTGCACTATTGAAGTAATAGCCTTAAGAATTCCTGCTGTAAAGTTTCAGGAAAACACCTGGATGCAGGAGACTGGAAGCATGCAGGCTTTTCCATGGTTCCCACATTGAGAAGTTCCTGGGTGCCTAGTTCTAGCTAAGGGTCGAGTTTGGGACAGACTCCTCATATCCTTTTTCTTCATCCTAGATGAATCCATCATTCCAGAAATGTCCATCCCTGCCCAGAACCCACTTAGCCCTTTTGAAAATTAAATATTAAGGAAGAGCAGTGGTGCAAAGGAAATTGGGAGCCACAGAGCTAGAAATCCAGAAAACTTCCCCCAATAAAAGGGAGGGGGCAACCACGAAGTGCTGGCCCACTGCAGCCTAGGGGACAGACCATGATGAGCTCTGTAGAGCAGCCAAGGTGACAGTTCATTTTTCATCATAATCAGCTGAACTGTGGAGCTGAATAGGACATGAGGAATGCTTTTGAACATTTCTGCCAAGCTTGGAGAGGATAGGGAGCTGCTGGAGCTGCCAGGTGTGGAAAGAACCAGAGTGAGGTGGAGATCAGAGGATAAACATAGGATGAGAAGTTATGAGAAGGCCACACTGGGTCCTGGATGCTCCAGCATGAGGTTTTCTCTCTGGCAAAGCCCCTTGGACTTGCATAAAACACAGCTTCCCTGTGAGATGTCACGAGAGCATAGTTACGAATGGAAACTGTAGCTTCAGGTCCTCTGAGACCCCAAGCCATCTGCTTATGTAGATTTAAAACACAAAAAGTCACCATCAATGGTGTGCTTTCACTGTGTTTTGTCCAACTTCAGCACTGGAGCAAGAAGCTCATCCCTGGGTGGTGCTTCTGAAAGGGATGCTTCGGAGGACAAGGTAGGAAGAAGGACAGAGCCAGTACTAGGAGGTCTCATATTTTTCTGGACTTGCCTTTGGATACCAAAGATCACCATGACTCCAAGAGTAAAGGCATCTCACAGCTCCAAAAATCTGGGTTATTGGCAGAAAGGATTTAGAAGCTAATGCAGCTCTAACATAGATACTGTTAAACCCAAATGTGCCCAAAATCTAGGCTGACACCTCATATTTGCCTGGGTGAGTTATTCCTTTTCACTTTAGTCTATCCCTGTGTCTGCTAACCTTCTGAGGCCAGTACAATGGAGTGGGTGCGGCCTAGGTTCCATTGATCTGATGATTTTTTGGCTCTAAAAAATTTGAGTTGTGTTTCTGGCCTTCTGATTCTAGAAGACCACAAAAGGTTAGCATTGGTCATTTCAAAAGATGTTCGAAGAAAGACGGAAATAGCTGCTGTCCCTGGGACCCCCAGCCCTACGTCTGCATGCGAGTGTGTAAGCACATAGTGCCAGCCGCTTTGGGCCTATGCCCCACTGCACTTGAGTAACCCCGCTCCCTGGTGGTCCTTTAAGATGTGAGGTGTTTTCTACAAGGGGGTGATAGCTTCCGTGCTGGCAGCCCTCACCCCTTCCTTCAAGCACTCCTCTTTTGTTGAAATTCACTGGCTTGACACAGGACAGATTCAGCCAAGCAGACAGCTCTGCTGGTCACTGTGGGGCCTGTCAAAGCTGCTTCTCTCCCTGGGTAGTGGAGTGAAGACAGGTGAGGGGGGGTGTCGGTGGGGGGCTTCCGCTGCCAGGGCCCCTGGCCTCATCTGCTCTTCCCCCTGGCAGCCTGCTCCCTTGCTCCTGGCTGGGCCTGAGGAGCTGAATAGGAATGGAAACCCCTCTCCCTGAACCCCACCACTTTTCAGGCTCTGGACATGTTTCCCACTCTCTGAGGCTGGTTCTTCTGTCCCTCTCATGAAAACAGCCTGTCCCTCTCCAAAGTGACATTGCAGAGTTCCTGCAAAGATGTCATCCCTCCTCCCTCGAGCTTCTTGACTTTTAGGTTGGAAAATTCTTCTAAAAGTCCCAGCATCTGCTTCCAGAGAGCATTTTAACCCCCACAAGTCAGGCAGGCTCTGCCCCAAGTGAATCAGACTCTCCATTTTAAGAATGGCCTCCAGCTGTGGAAGTGAATGGGGAAAAAAGCCCCACAATAATCCACAAGATAGAAAGAAATGGCTTCACACTCCTGAACTGAATTTCATCTCCTTGTTAAATCTAAAACAATACAAGAAGTTTAGTTTTGTTTAAAAAAACAGTCACTCAGGAAAGCAAATAAATCCCCCAGGACAAATGAGACTTGAACTTTAGTATCCTTGGCTGAGTTTTTGGTCTTCAGCTGATGGTCAGATAACAAAGACAAAAATCTCTTAAATAAACTCATTATTAGGCTTCTGCATCAATTCATTACTACAGTAGCTATCCACAACCAAATATTTCTCTTTTCTGGAACAAAATGATATTAGAATTTATTTCAACCAATGTACTTATTTCTTTTCTTCCATTGAGAAGGATTTAGAAACAGCCATGTAAAGAGCTTTCCTCCTTTGCAGGAACTAAGTACAAGGCCCTAGGCCTCTTGATGTAATCAGAGGTGTTAGCCTAGGCTACAAATGTCATATGTGCTTCTACTCCTGATTTCCCCTCCTCCTTCTTCTCCAGAATACTTTTGTAATTGTGGGTCTGGCTGAATAAGGGCCAAGAAATGTCTGTGGCCAAGATACAGCCCCACACACCCATGGGGACCCACCTGTACCTCGCAGATTCTCATGGGAAGCTGCTCCCTATAACATGTATCAGACTGGCCTGGGTTAGGGGTCTGGCACCACTGTTTAGTGGTGCTTAGTAAGCCAAATTTGGGCTCTGTAGCCTCATGCAGATTCTTCAACCTCTTTGTGCCTTAGTTTCCTTGTCTATAAAATTGCAACAATAGTGGTACCCATGAATATGCTATGTACACCTATGCAGGATAAAGCTCTACTTAAGTATGGTTGTCTGAGGATTAGAAGCGAGTATACATATGAAGTGTGTAGCTCAGGGCCACATATATGGTAAGCTTCCCATAACTTTTAGATACTGACTGGGAACAATAATTGGGGTGAAGATGACAGAGAAATATCTATAAAACTGGGAATCAGAAGACTTCATTTAGAGACCAGCTCTACACCTTCCTTGCAGTTTACTTTGAGAACTTGAATTCTTTAAGTCAATTTCTGTGCCTGAAAATTGGATCTAAATTGTGTAGAACAGGCAATAATATTTGGATGAGTACACAGACACAAATCTTAAAGATGAACCACCATTATCCGGGGATGCCACAGTTGCTTTCAGAGCATCAGTGGGTTTGAGATGAGTGGACTAAGTATCTTCTTGGGCTCTTTGTGTTCTTTCTGCAGCACTTGTCAAAGAAAGGGTAAGGAGACCATGAACCTGTGATGAAGACAGGTCCCTGGATGCCCTGTGCTCCCAAGGAAAGATTTTTCTTTCTGGGAATATTGACCCACACCCAGCCAGGCTCTTCCCCTCACCTCTGCTCACAATGCGTAGAGGGCTAACAAGCAGGAAGACTCTCCCGATTTTGCATGGCACTTGTGACTTCCATAGTCTTGGGGATATTGATCTGATATTGGTTAGACTGATAATTATCTTAGCTTCACTATAGGAAGTATTTTTCATTAGCTGGGCATTATGGTGGACACTTGTACTTCCAGTGCTCAGGAGACTGAAGCAGGAGGATCACCTTGAGTTTGAGGCCAGCATGGGCTACATTAGTGAGTTCAAGTCCAGCCTGAACTACCTAGCAAGATTCTGTCTCAAATAAACAAACAAACAAACAAATAAAAAGGAAAAGAAATTTTTCAGAGCAGAAATAGTTTGCTTCTAATATAAATTTTTTGATTGGTTTGTTTGTTTTTTGTGGTACTGAGGACTGAACTCAGGGCTATGCCTTGAGCTATACTCTCAGCCATTTTTATTTATTTTTCTTCCTTTTTTTTTTTTTGAGACAGAGTCTTGCTAAGTTGCTAAGTTCAGACCGGGCTCAAACTTGTGATTCTCCTGCCTCAGCTGCTCAGAGTGTTTAATTTCAGCTTTACATATCAAAAGAAGGAAAGCTGATCAACATACATGGATCTTATCCTCAATTTGCCACTGTAGAATAGAATTGTCCAGGTTGACACCTATTTTAGATTCTCATTCTTAGACGTGGGAGGCTCTGCCAGAAGTTGGGTCTGGAGCTTTTCAAAGAGTTCTCTTTCTTTTACCATCTTGATTTGTGGTGTGGAAAAGCCCAGAAGAAACAAACATACTAAGATACTTCACTTGTGTGTATTAGGGATAAGAAAGGATGGAATGTCCAGTCAATCAGCTTGGAAACCTGTTGTGCTCTGTCCATACCTCCAGCTCTTTCACATGGATGATTATTCCAGACATCTTTACAAAGCAGTTCCTTGATGCCAAAAAAAAAGTCACATAAATAGAATGAAAGCAACAGGAAATATAAAACTAATCCCTACCATTTGAGCAGTCATTGATCATGCTCATTAAGTCTTTTTATTTGGATGCTTATGAAATTTCAGGATCAAGGTTAGATTTCTTCTTTTGATATCAGTATGAAGTTTCTATGTTGTTAACTGTAGAAAAGGGTGGATCTTAAGATTTGTTTTTGTTTTGTTTTAGAATTCATTTGGGGCAATGGCTAGGAATTAAAGGGGAAAAAGAAACCTCTAAGCTGTTGAGATTTAGTCATTGATATAGTTTTTGGAGTAAATTCATATTTTGCTCCTTATTGCCCAGCCAGGCAAGAAACCTATTTTGTTTGGATCTGAGCAGCAATTTTGGGGGAAAAATCGTATTGACGGTAATAGCTTGAAACATGAAATTGTTTTTATTCCCAGGTTGGAGAAATTGCAGGGCAACTTTTGTTTAAGCAATTCTTTTGTCGCCAGTCTGACAAACTCTTGGGCACATTCCCCCTTATCTCCTACCCAAAGACTGATTTCATTGCCATAATTGCAGACTTGCCTGGCTCCTGGCAGCCTCTCCCTACCAAGACCCTTAATGGCCTTGCAGGGGATTGTTGTAGCACAGTCTGTCTGCAGGCTGAGAGGAGAGGGGCGGGCTGCAAAGGACAAAGCTGGGTCTTCAAAGGCTCAGTGTTGCCAGTCCCTGCCCTCTTTGGTTCTGCACCACCCAGCTGTGTGTTCCTTCTGCACTTGTTCTTTGAAGGCTCCATGTGGGTTCCCATACTCTCCTACTACTCTCCAGCAACAGCAAAGATACCAGATATGTGATGTCTTTCTCGTCTTTCCCTCCCTTTTTTTTTTGGTTTTTGTTTTTGTTTTCTGGCAATTACGTAAAAGCTCCATAATTATTTATAAATCTGCAAGGGATGCCCACAAGACTAGAGTAATGGTGGTGGCCTCCTTGGCATCCCACAACAGAGGAGAAAGCTGCATTTGGCCTTCTGTGTCTGCATATACTCTGGCATCGGAGGCTGCTGTCTTGACCAGGTGTCTGGATCTTGGGAAACCACAGCCCAGGACCACCACTAGCTGGGGAACTTTCTGTAAATGTCCAAGTGAACAGGACTCAGATCTCCCCATTCCACAAAAGGAAGGGGCTATTTGTCTCAGGGATGGGCACACCCTAGTGTAATTTGGCAGAGCACCTGCAAAACTCTTCGAATGTCGGGTCAGGGCAAAACTGAGAATGCATCTGCCCAGTACATCTTGCGCTGATTACTTGGAGCGCATGTTTCTGATTCATTTGCACATAACTCATCCAGGGGTGTTGCAAGAGCTATGTGATGGCCAAAGGAACCCAATGAATCTTTTATTATATTTTTAAAACAAGTTTCTCTGTGTTGATTGTCTCTTGGAGCCAAGACACTGCATTCTTTCAGCCCCAAGACAGACTTCAAAAGTAGGCTTCATAAATCCGAAAAACAAGCTCTAACCTTAGCTGTGGGATGATCTGCTCTGACCCTGAGGCTGGGTCTAGACTATGAGAGAAGTGCACATTCTAGCTGGAAAAGTCTGGTCTTAAGGACCTTGTGCTCATATCTCTGCACACCCTGTAGCATCCAGCCCACCACAAGCACCTCTTTGCTCCCTTTGTCTCTTGAAGAGACTATACTTCTATCACTTAGTTTTTGAGAGGCAGTGCAGCAACACTGATAAAAGCATGGGCTCTGGAGCCAGACTCTCCATGTCTGCCATGTACTAGCTGTGTTAACATCTGTGTGTGACAGTGTTCTTGTATATAAGAGGCTATCTGTGTCTATCTGGCAATCACTCCAAACTTTAATAGTTTGAAACACTGGCCATTGGATTATTCACATTCCTGTGGGTCAAGAATTTGAGCAAAGTTCATCTTGGAGGGTTGGCTCAGTTACCTGGTTGTTGGAGGTGACTGAACTGGGGCCAAATGATTCAAGATGGCCCCAGTCACAGGGCTTTGGAGCTGGATGTTGGCTGAGGTGCCTCATTTCTCTTCCATGTAGACTGTCTCTTTACATGGTCTCTGTACATGCAGTGATCTAGGATGGGCTTCCTTGCATACCAATAGGAACATTCTAAGAGAAGGAAATCAGAACCTGTAAGACATCTTAAGACCAGTGATAGTGTAACTCTACCCATTCAACTGAACCAAGTGAATCACAAGGCCAGAGACTGAAAGGAAGTACGTAATAGTCAGTTTTACATTGCTATGACCAAATACCTAGGAAAAACAACTTAGAAGAGCTTATTTTGGCTCATGGTCTGTGTTGGGGAGCATGGTCCATGGTCAGGTGCTCCATTGCTTTTATGCCTGTGGTGGGGCAGAAACATCATGGCAGAGAAAAGCTGCTGAACTCATGGCAGCCAGGAAGCAGAGAGTTGGAAAGAATCAGGAAAAAGAAGGGGCCAGGGACAGTATATAATCTTCAAAGCCACATCCTTAGTGACTTACCTAATCCAATTAGGCTTCATCTCCTAAGAAGCCCATTCAGCTATGAAAGCATCCATAGACTTACTCATTCAATTCATCTATCAGTGAGGCCAGTGCCCTCATGATCCAGTCACCTCTCTAAGCCCCACCTCTTGAGCATTGCTTCATTGAGGATCAAACCTTCGGTACATGAGACTTTGGAGAACATTTCATATTTAAACCATAACACAGGGAAAATAGACTCCACCTGTGGATGGGAGGTGAGACACACCTACAGACATAGGAGGTTGTTATGAGGACTAAATAGTCTCATGTAGGCAGAACATTCAGAACAGTGCCTGAAACAGTTAACATAATGCACAGGGAGTGTTGCTTTATTGTGATTATCCCTGCATCACTTCAGGAATAGATATAGTACATGCTTGCCCCTTGAATAAAAGTCTTTTCAGCAGCATAGTCACCAGTAAATCAGAAAGGCTGGTATAAGCCCTGTTTCCTCTCAACCTGAGGACATGTTCCATCCATTTGTGCCATCCCTGGATCCAGGCCATCCCTGGATGTTTTACCCTCTCTATCACCATGCAACCTCAGCTTTCTTTCATGAGCAATCCAGCCACCACTTCCCTTGGCTCTCTCAGACTTTCTTCCAAGGGTCACACGGCCTGGAGGCTGTTGACTCCACATTGACCCTGGCCTGTTCTGAATTCTTCAGGTCACCATAGAGGTGGTCGACGGTCCAGACTCTGAAGGAGATAAAGATCAGCATCCGGAGAATAAGCCCAGCTGGTCAGTCCCATCCCCTGACTGGCAGGCCTGGTGGCAGAGGTCCTTGTCCTTGGTGAGGGCCAACAGCGGGGACCAGGACTACAAGTACGACAGTACCTCAGATGACAGCAACTTCCTCAACCCCCCCAGGGGGTGGGATCGTCCGGCCCCAGGCCACCAGACTTTTGAAACCAAAGAGCAGCCAGAATATGGTGAGTTTACCAATCAGTAATATAAAATTGATGGGGAGAATAAATAAGGCCTAACAGACATGGAGCCAAGCAAAACCCAGTTTACATTATGTGGCTTTTGGTCTTCTGTGAGGCAGATCTCATAAAGGCTGTGTTCCACAGAAGCCTCAGTGAGGCACCAACAGCCACATCTTTCTGGAAAGACTATAATTTTAAAATCATAGGAATTATTCTTGGAGAGAGTTTTCTTTAGGGTCTTTAGGGTTCTTTCTGTCTTTTCTTCCCCAAATTTTTAGTTTTATTTCTAAAAATGAAATAATCGACTTAATTTTATTGTATTTTTCACTGTAAAACATTCATATTGAAAAGCAGTTTAATAAAGAGATGTGTATGGTTGCTGCTTCCTTTGACCAAGCAACTGGGTTATGTTTGATACTGGCAGTTCAGTGGCCCTTGGGAATCCGTGTAAACATTTGTGACATGGTTTGTCAAAGGACGGCCTTTCCCAGGAAATGTTAAGTCTTCCAGTTGATAACATCTAGTTTCCCCTGATTTTAAAGTAAGATGGATGTGGTAATAGACAACTTCCAAATTCAGCAACTTAAGACAATAAGAGTTCATTTCTCACTTGAGTTGAAGCAGGAGACAAGGTAGGGGGAACTCAGCTTCACTGAGGCATTTAGAATCTAGTTTTCTCCTTCCATCTTGGAGCTACACCAACTATTAGGGGCTGAGACTTATCCCCTGGATGCTCTGCATCTGGCTGAACTGAGGAATAAGGGAAGCTGGAGAGAGAACACACACACTCTTAACTCCCTTAGCTTGGAGGTGATGCATATCACATCTACTCAAATTCTATTGCCATGAACTGGTCATGTGGCCCCATACAGATGCAGGGAGGCAGGGAAATGGATGTGTGTAGCCAAATAAAAGAGGAAACATTTTTGCAAGCATCTGGCCAGACTTAGTGAGGAATTAGGCAGTGTGTTGAAAGAATATTTGCTGTCTTTCCAATGCACCCATCATCGAGCTTTCAAATGATTTCATCATCAGCAGACTTAGGAGTGTACAGTATATGATGAGGATATGATGTACCATTTGCACTCTCACTTTTACCTCTTTTTCTACAGAAAGACAAGTTCTATTTTGGAGAGTTATTTTTTTCCATTAATAGATGATTCTAGGCAACTTCCAAAACAGCAAGACAGTTCTTTTTCTAGCTACATCATTTGGTTGATCAACCAACATTTATTAAGAACATGTCTTGGGTCTAACATCAGGCTAGGTGCTAGAAATCCCAAAACATGCAAGACATTGTCTTTTCCTAAAGAAGATCTCACCCATCTCATGACAAAGGGAGAAAAATTAACTAATAGAGCAACAGAGTGCCATGATAGAGATATATAAAATAGTAGGGGAGCAGAAAGAGGACTCCATACCTCTTCTGGCCAGTGACTCACAAAATCTTCACTTTTCCCACAGGAAATCCAATTTATCCCTTTCCAAGAGCAAGAATTGGGAATCAGAGCTAGCATTTATAAGTACTTGCATTGCAGTAGTCCCTGTTGGTGGCATTTCACATATGGTAGCTCAGTTGACTGACTCTCTGAGGCTTCATTTATAGCTGGGAAAAACAAAGGCTGCAGAAGTTAAGCAACTTGACTTGGAGGGTCCAGACCTGAAACTCATCTCAGGAAGTCTGCATCCAGCATCTTAGCCACTATCCCATTCTACCTCTCTGTAGAGAAAGTAGCACAACCATTAGAACAGTAAAGTAGAACTAGCTATGAATGCAAAACTGGGATCTCTGGGAGTGAGTATGAGGCATTACTGTCTTCCAAATTCATGGGTGATCCAAGTGTACAGCTCAGGTGGAAGGCCACTGCTCTCCCCTGTTGAGTCAGGGGCATGTGAGTGAGACCTGGAACCTGTCTGTGCTTCCTTCTTTATTTTTTTCAAAGTCACTATGTGATTCTTCTCCTTACTCAAGTTTGAAGACCATCATTAGAAATAGTTTTTTCATCTAAAGCTTTATAGAGTCTGCCTTGTTGAGTTTATGAGAACTAGGAACGTCCTTTCCTCTTCAACCTTGAGGATGGAATTTGCTTCTACCAGGGAAGTTCCTGTGGCTGCCTTGGCTCTCACCACATTTTCCTGGAAGACCCATGGAGTTCCCTAGGTCAAAATTTTAGCACATCTTTGGGCTATGGGGAAGCACCAATCTCCTATGATTTTGGAGTATCTCTTAGTAACTTCTCCCTTATTAGACTAGATATCAGAACTGCTACTTTATTTTAAAAAAACAAAAAAAATGTCCCTTCTAGTACTTTAAGTAGTACTTCTCACACCTTTCTCTGTATATCAGTAACCTGGGATTTTGTTGGAATGCAACTTCAAATGCAGCAGGTGTAGGAAAGAGGCAGGATCCAGGGGAAGCTGGCACCATTGGTCCCCTCCAAGCCACAGTTGGAGTAGCGAGACTAAGTATATCATGGCCATTGAGTAGCATGGGCAGCTTGAAGGGATGACTGATCTCAGAATAGCTCAAGGATTATGTGTTTTCCAGAATTCTATACAGCACCTGAGAATTCTCTTTTTATTTGAATCAACAAAGAAACTATTGAGCAATTTCTAAGTATTTACTCCTGCATTGTGTGCTTGGGGTGGGGACAGGGAGAGAACACACCACCCTGGAAGGTGAGGTTCATGCAGCACAGGTCACTGTGTCTCAGGGCTCACTGTCCTATCTCAGACAGACCGAAATTACTACAGGATCTGGACTTTGCAGTTTAAATGTTTGTGGGAAAAGAGTATTTCAAAAAATCTGAGATGCAATGAATATGATATAATGGCAACTGTAGGACAGAGGTGTTACAGAATATACAACAGAAGGTAGACCTAACTTGTGTGATGGAAACATATACTGTGGGGATGCCACAAGTCAGTCAGACCAGGTGGAGTATGTAAATACCTCCTATTTCAGGTTGTTTCAGGTGTCCAGGACAAAGGGAGTACAAGTAAACATGAATCTTTCTAACAGTAATAGACCATTCTCAAAATTATCCGTAATACAATTAGGTGGGCACTGCTTCTTAGCAGGGTTAGGGCTCAATTTGTTGAAATTCTCTGACTGGTCATGGTCCTATTTCAGTAGAAGATTTCAGAGTAATTTCTTTTCATGAGTTTTTCTTTGTAGTGCTGAATTATGGCCACATCAGTGAGTGCCTTAAAGAAGGGAGGCCAAGTTGGGCCAAAATCAAAACTACTAGAATACCAAGGTAGAAAACAAGATATGGTGGGAGCACACAGATCTCAGATCTAATCCCCACTCTGTTGAGTTTGAACTGTGTGAGCTTAGGCAAATATGTTAACCTCTCTGAACCTCTGTTTTTCTATTCATAAAAGGAAGAGGTTTACACCTGCTTCTCAGGATTATTGTAGCTGTTAATTGTAGCTGCTGACATCTAGGATTATGGTGCAGGCTTACAGTGGTTAAGATAATACCCAAGTCAGTTCCATTGCCTTGACACTATAACTGGCCCAGAGAACATTAAATACCCTGAAACTATAAAAGGACTATTTTCTAATTACAATTTCATCCTTGAAACCCAGCTTTCAGCTCTTTGCATGGTGGATCATTATTTTCCTTCCTTATACTCTTAGATGTCACAGGTAGGAACTGTCAGAAAACATATAAATTTTACCAGGAACTTTTTTTTCCTGTCATGTTGTTATCTTTGTTGCTAACACCCATTTTCTGCTCTAATCAATACTGTCTGATAGGTGAGCAAATAAGAACATGCTTGTTTTATTACAGCAGAAAGGGCTTCTGCCCTCAAAGTTTTGTCCCTGTCAGAAATTCCCTCTCTGTCCTTTGACCATGTAAAACATACAGAAATCCCCAAGGTCTTTGCTGGGGTGCTACTGTGGACCAGTATGTGATGGGGGCTTCTGGGTACTGATCTGACTGCACACTTTTTCCTAGGACACTGTTGTATTTTATTGCTAGCCTCAATAGAAATGATTAATCACATGGCTATAATTTTAAGTGATCCATATTTTTAAAAACTAACTAGCTTTATAAGCATTTAAAACAATGATGTAGAGAAGCCACTTACTGGGATAACAAATCCTTGGTGGTTCCAGAGTCCAGACTCTGACAGCAGTCTAGACAGCACATTTTAGGGAGGATTTTGCAATGTATTTATAACAGGTTTTGTTGCTTAATAACATTCCCTTCCCCAGTTTAGCAGCTTTAAAGAACAAAAGGTTCTCCCTCATGAGTCTGTGGGTAGCCAGCACTATTGACTTAGGGCCAGATTAGCTGGGTTGGAAGGCCTCTAACAGTTCCTCACAATGATGAGGCCTCCTATACCACTGGGGTCTGAGAGGGCTGAGGCCTCTCTCCACCTGCTCCCTTACCCTCCTGGAGGCTAGCCTGGCTCTTCATGTGGTAGTAGAAGAGCTCCCTAAAGCTAGAGAGGGAAAATTCTCTTGCATGGTCTTATAGCAAGCCTCTGCTTATGTCTCCTTATGTCATATTTGCTATTATCCCATTGGCCAAAGCAAATCACATGGCCCAGCCTGAAGTCAGCAATTGAGAGGGGTAACCAAAGGAGTGGACATGGAGAGAGGAATTATGGGAATCATCTTTCATATAATTTGACATGGTATTCACATTTCATTATTTAGATCCAAGAAATCTCATGAAGAGATTGTAGTATAAGCCTCATTGTGAGTTTAAGGCTTAAAGTTTAGGGATACTTCTCTAAATTTGGTCTCTACCATAATAGAGAGGAAAAACTGCAGGAGATTTCAGAATAGTTGAGACCTCTTTGCTTTTGTGAAACCAACCAAGACATCACTTGGCATCACTGTATTGTGTCTTATGCTGGAACCCATTTCACAGATGATGTGAATTCTACCTGTAGGATTTAATAAGCTTTTTTTCTATTTACTCATTTCCTCCTTTTTTGAGTATAAAAACATTATAATATTACTTGTGACTTGTTATTCCCTTCAATAAAATCTGACCTCGCTGGTGTGTGCAGGGTGTGTGCACATGCGGTGTAACCCACTGCACCTGGATATAGTCATAGACAAGTATGCGGTGGGGTGAGTGCTCCTGGCACATCTCCAGTGTTCTTGGGAAGATCACCAAGAAGTACCAGACTGTCTCGGGGGCTCAGAGACTGACCCACCTCAACGGCTTCTCCCTCTGGAAGCACCTGTCTCTACTGTCCTACTGGAGGGTGACTTGTAAGAGATGGTAGCAATGCAGGAGGCTAACACTGGAGAATGAGGCCCAAATTCCCCACATGGAGTGGTAGTTTCAAACATCTGCTTGGTCTTGTGGTTAGAAAGCCATTTCTTAAAAAGAAAATCAAAGTTTGGAAAAAAATTTTTGTTTGGCAGGAGACAAAAATGGATGAGGTCTCTGGGGACAGATGAGGTGTGGGCAAAGTTTCCATTCTGTTAGGAAAGAGGACACAACCATGAAGCACACCACATGCACACACACATACACTCTCATTCTCCCTAATGGGCCGCTTGCCTGAGGATTGTGCAGAGTGAAAGCCACATAAACTGCCAGGGAGGCTGGCATGGGGTCCACAGTTCAGATAGAAACGTGTGGATGACATTCTTGCTGGGCCTGCGTAATAACAATCACCATAACCTGTTATGAATGGAGGGCATCTTTTCCCTGCAAGGCACATGCCTGTAGCCCCACACTTAGCACCCAGAGAGGCCCCAAGGCTACTGGAAGATGTGGATGAGCCAGGAAAAAGGATTACAGAGCAGAGATGCTGCAGAAGGGGCTATGCTTTAGAGACCAAGGTCTGAGCTGAGTTTCCATTTCTGTTCACTTGATCACCTTGGACAAGTCCCCCAGCCACTCCTGCACTTTACTTCTGTTAAGAGAAGGTCAGGGGCTGAGGATTTAGCTCAGTGTTTCAGCCACCTGCCTCACAAGTGCAAGGTCCTGAGTTTGATCGCTGGTACCAAAAAAAAAAGGAGAGAAGGTCAGTCTTGGTGAGGCACCAATCTTTCCCCAACCTCTCTCACTCCCAGGCCCCCCTATTCTGGTCTACTTTTTCTTTATCCACACTTCCTTTATCAACTTCTAATGAAATACAAAGGTTACTCGTTTTTTGTGTGCGTATATTGACTATTATCTCCTTCTTATTAAAATAGTAGTTCCTCCAGCACAAGGATCTTGCAAAGTGTACTTAACGATGTATTCCACATACATCATAATTGTACCTGACTTAGAAGGAGGGCTCAACTCATTGGATGAATGTTGAATAATGACCCAAGGGGCATTTTTAGCTTTACCATTAGTGTATCAATTACCTATCTCTGCCTAACAACCATCCCAAACTTGGTGACTTAAAACAAAAGCAGTTTATTATTTCTCATGATTTAGTGGCTCAAGAGTTTAGTCAGGCCACTGAGCAATTCTTTTATTCTTGATGACATCTGCTGCATTCGGCTGTCTACTGGGAGGGACTGGAAGGATCAAAAACAGTTCTCTCACATGTTTGAGGTCTCTGTAATCCTTTTGTGGTCTCTGTAATCCTTTTGTGGATCTTCTCTTTCCAGGTGTAGTCCCAATTGATAAGTTTAGCCTGAGCTTCTTTCCTAGTAACTGGATTCTCCGTGGCAAAAACTGGAAGCTACCAAGCTTATGGTCAAAGCCAGCCCAGATTTTAGATTCATTCTCTCCATTCTCTAACTCTCTCTCTCCCTCCCTCCCTCCCTTCCTCCCTCCCTCCATCTCTGTCTCTGTCTCTGTCTCTGTCTCTGTCTCTGTCTCTTTCTCTCTGTCTTCCTCTCAAGGAATAGATGGAAATGATGATGGTCATCTTTGGAAATTGCCCAGCTTATTATCCTATGAACCATGCTTTCCAGAATGTGTGTGTTCTCAATAACATTTCTTGGCACATTGCAGGCATCAGGTCCTATCCATACACTGATCCCCATGATGCCCCATACTTTCCTATTTACAAAGTTGAGCCCTAAAGGGAACTCTAGAGCTGTAAGCCTTTTAGTTCTGGCTGGCATGTGCTCCCCTCCAACATGAGATCACTGGAAGTGGACAGTGGCAGCCTGCTTGACAGGGGAGATGTGGGCACTTTTTGGATGAGGTTGATGACCATCTCCCTGGCTCCCTTCCAGATTCCACAGATGGAGAAGGTGACTGGAGTCTCTGGTCTGCCTGCAGCATCACCTGTGGGAATGGTAACCAGAAACGGACCCGGTCTTGTGGCTACGCGTGCACTGCAACCGAATCTAGGACCTGTGACCGTCCAAACTGCCCAGGTGAGTTTACACTGGTGTGTGGATGCAAATACAAGGGTATAAGGCAAAGCTTTTAAGTTTATATTTTAGAACATACAGAAATTATTTTTTTAAAAGATGGCCATTCCCTATATGACTTCTGACCAGAATGAGATAAGAGATCCTTAATGACTGAAATGGGGAAAAGGATGGATTTTCTGAGTCCTATGCACTGTTGAAGTAGCTGTGACCTAAAAGACAGGGCTACATTATATTTGGTTAATTTAAAGAAGGGACTCTGGTTAGGTTGGGCCTTTGATGTGGGATTTGTTATGACTCGAAAAGACATATGAAGACAGACATTTACGGTTTAACAAGGAAGCCAGGATGAGAGGGTCAATAGCCAGCTACAGAAAAACCACAGTTAGCCTTGTCAGTAATACCTGAGAGTTGCCTAGAGCTCCACAGGGAGCAAACTGGGGCTACTTAGCATTTAATTATGACTTTAGACTGCATTGTCAGTGCTTTAAAAATTAAACTAATTGCAAACTTGGTGAGGGCTCATACCAGCAGTGAACAGTAATTGTGGCTGACTCTAATGCTGGTTGTCAAACCATGTCCAGTGGGCCAAGTCCAGCCTATGATCTGTTTCTTTAGGCCCCATTCATTTTTAAAGGGCCACAAAGAAAAGGAGGAGGAGAAAGAAGTGGAAGTGAAGAAAGAGAAGGAGGGGGAAGGAAGAGGAGGCAACAACCAAGATGATTATAAATGATCCACAAATCCTAACATTTGTACCCTCTGACCTTTTACACAAGCGCTTACCAACTCCTGGTCAACAGTTTGACTATATATTCCCATTGCCAGGTAGAGTACCAGCCTGCAATAATATCTTAGGCCTTCTCAGGAAACCACATGTTCCAAATGGCTTCATCTGAGAGAAAGAAAATTTGAACCCTGCACTCCATACTTCCTTTTGCTCCCTCTAGACACTCTGTTCTCAAACCAGAGACATTTGGAACAAAACAGATGTGGAAACACAAGGGGTTTGTAAGGAGAGAGAGGAAATATCCTTTGGAATGAGTGTGTATGTTAGCAAATAGGTACATGCAGAAAGCTGGGCTGAAATGTAAGTACTGGCAGTTCTGACTCCATGACAGCCATACAGATTTCGAAACAGTAGAGCAACCACGAAGTTACTTTACTTTTCCTGATCCTTCTCATGTCCATCATAATGAGCTGAGTATGAAATCTGGTGAGTGGGATTTGGATGGATAGGAACAGATTAATAAATAATAATAACATGAATAATAACATGAACATAATAACATGAAGAGGAACAAAAGGACAAAAAGAACATGGAAAAGGAGAGAAAATGAAGAAAAGGATAAAAGAAGGAAGAAAGGGAAGGAGGGCAAAAAAGAGGATGGGAGGGGAAAAGGAGAAAGGAGGAATGGAGGGAGAGAAAGACAACAATGAAGAAAGAGTTGAAGAAGAAAAATTAAAAAGATGATAAAGAACAAGAGTTTTTAAGCAACTTCCCATAGTTGTTTTGTTTTGTTTTTTGGTACCTGGAATCCCATAGTTTTTATGTGCATCGTTTCATCTAATCCTCACAGTAGCCTCATGAAATAGGTATTTATTATTGCTCCCACTTGGCATCTTTGGAAAATGAGGTACTGGGCCAGCAGCAGGTGATCAATAGTGAAGTTGAATCCAGGGAGAGTCCATGTTCTTAGCCACTGAACACTTCCTCCTCCCCTGGAAGGTAGTTGGCTCAGTCACACACAGACACAGTAGGCATTCAGTGCCTAGGTCTAGGGGCTTGTTTGTGGTGTTCTCCTCCAGAGCTGGCATCTAGACCCCAGGTGATAGATTTAGATTTCTTATCAAGGAAAGGCTCTTCGCCCCCATTTTGAATGTTTCCTTCTTGATTTTTTGGCACTGCTGACAGCACTAGGGCCAACAACTCTGTTCATGCATCTGTCCCTGTTCTGTCCTTTTTGCCTCTTTGAGCCATCTTCCCAGGGCTCACCGGGAACCAGACAGATTTCTTTTTGCAGGATTTCTTGCCTTATTTGGTTTGTTGATTCTCAGCTTTATAGGAAAGAATCACAGAGCAAACAGAGTCCTGCTGGCCTGGCCGTGTAAAATACATTCCCTATGTCAGCCCCACAGATTTGAGGGGCCTCACATAAAATCAGGGAGTCCTTAAAGGAAATCAAGTCCTACCCATCAGACAAAGTTTCATGATCCTCTGCTCTTTCCTCGGCTTGCTTTACCTTGTGCAGAATTCTGTCTGCAAAGGAAGATGGCTGGGGTAGGACTTTTGGGAGGAGCCTGAAGGGAGGTGGGAAGTTTAAAGCAAATTGGGCTTAGTTCCTCAGAGCAATCCCGACTTACTCTTTCTGAAGCAACAGCAGTGCTAAAATTCTTAGAATGTGAGATATCTGGTCTTTGGCTAGGAACTGCTGCATCCTCAAATGGTGTTAGCTAAATACTGAAGAGGAAAATATCATCTAGCACTTACCACTTACCCTCTTGCTCTAGCTGATTTCTTCACACACAACTCATTTAATTTGTTCAGCTACATGGAGGGAGGGTGTCAGTTCTCCCCACTTTGGAGATATGAAAACCACAGCACACAAGAGGAATCGGCTCGCCCTAATTCACATAGTTCGTACTGACTTGGACCCAGTCAGTCATTAAAGACAGGTATTAACCAGTACACTCTACGGCTTCTCATTTAGTCTGTCACCCTGATGCCACCGGACAGCCACCCTGACTTGTACTCCCTGCTGCCCAACCCTCATCCACAGACCAAGTGAATGAGTTCCTTAGGACTCATTTAGGCACATTTGGATCAGATTTCATGCTGCAAATGGTATCTAGGGTTTTAATATATTTTATGCACTACTACCTGCTTTTTACTGTTTCCTCTGTTGGCAAGTTTCTGCCCATGAGCAAAAGTGAATACAAAAAAGGCTTTGTTCAGGTATATTTGTTTATTTGGGAGGGGGTGATTTTTTCCATATAACTAGGGGAAAATGAGCTTTTGTCCGTGTCTAGGCATTGAGGACACCTTCAGAACAGCGGCCACTGAAGTGAGTCTGCTTGCGGGAAGTGAGGAGTTTAATGCCACCAAGCTGTTTGAAGTTGGTAAGAATATTTTTCTTCTTTTTTTTAAAATCCAAATATTGATTTAGTTCTTTGGAGATTCCTTTTGCCTTTGCAATGCCATCCTTGGATCCATGTACATGTTTCATTTTCCTTCTCTGGGGTCCAGTTCTCCCTGCTTATTTCTTGCTCAGTGAACAGGCTCCCGGCAAGAGGGAGCAATCCTGTCCCCCCTCCAGCAGACTGAGCCATAGAACCTCTGCAGCTCCACAGCAGGAGGCAGGTGGGTCCAGAATCTGCCCTGAGCACAGATTCAGCAATGGCAGGAACTCAGCACCCTGGAGCCTGTTCTCACTCACCCACCACTGTGTGTCCCCAATAAAATCAGTTCTCCAGCAGAGGGAAGGAAGTAGAGAGAGGAAATTTCTCAATATTATACACTCTTCTCTCCTGCAAGAATTTTTCATAAATCTCTGGTACACTCTGCTGTGCTACGTACTTGTCTGATAGAAAATGTTAGCACAGATACAAGAAACAAACCAAACAAAACTGGAAGGAACTACTCAGGTGTAAGCTTGCTTTTTAAAAATGATTAATTTGCTTCTGGATATAATTCTGTGTTGAAGAAGGTAAAGGTCCTTCTGCTCCAGTTCTTTTTGCCACCAGAAATTCTTGCTTAACCTCTTCACTTCTGCTGTGCCTTCTCAGACAAAAGTGGGCAGTCTGGGTCCCTTGTCAGTTCACAGCCCAGTTATTTGGGGTGTAATTTGGTGATCAAATGGCTCTCTTGAAGAACTATAGGGGTGAGGCAAGGGTCTAATGCAATAGTCTATAAAAAAAGGAAAGACTAACAAACCATGGTGCCAGTACTAGGATGAAAAGAAACTAGAACAATTATAGCATCGGGAGATATTAGAGAGCAGTGGGGATCATGACAAAATGAAGAACTCAGGCTTTATCCAAGCTAGGAGCCATGGTATCCCCACTATGGACCCAGTACTGCCAGATGTTCTAGTTTTCTAAGAAAGGCCCCAAATCTGGATTTTTCTAGAATATATCTCAATTTTTACAATGCTTGATAATAATTGATTTTAAAAAGAAATCCCATCAAACATGTCTGCGAGCCAAACTGCAGGCAGTTTGGAAATTCTGTCACTAAGGCCTCCCCATCACCCCAGTCTCTAAACAGATACATAATCCACTTGCATGTGACAGGAGCCTTCTGTGAACATGTATTTGATTTAAAACAAATGACTAGAAAGGTGTGGATTTTGTAAAATGGAAGGCAGTCCATCAGAGAACTTCTCAGGCTCCTCATATGGTGCCCACAGGCAGGCAGCCTCTTGCCTTATTGCAAAGTGAGTCCAGATGCCCAAGGCCACACCCAGTATGTGGCTAATGCCACAACAGCTGAGTAGACCTGATGTGTCAGCCAGGGAAAGAACTTGTAATTGGGGAGCTTTTGGTGAGGGACTGTTTACAAAGATATGAGCAGGGTGGAGAAAAACCAAGCAGGAGTTGTACCAAATTCCAAGGCCGACACAGTGGGCAGCCCTTATCACTTCATGGCCTGAAGGGACCAGGGAAGGAGCAGTGACCATAGCCCAGGAAGAGAACACCTGACAGCAGTCCTGGCTCCCAGAAGGATGCAGACAATGTGCAATGGAGAGAGGAGTCCAGGAACTAGATGGTCTGACCTCACATTCTTCCCTCTGTCTGGCCTCTCGCCAGGTCTTCCCATTGGCTCAGGTGGCATAGAGGTCAGGAATGGAGGAGCTGATTGATAGATCAAACTTCCAGGGATGGGTATGGCACTGAATGAGGACATAGAAGGGCAGACCAAAGAAGAGTAAGAGAAAGGAAAAGATGCATGGGCTCAAGATCAAGTTTGTTAACCGAGTACTGCCTCAGGTTTCTGAACTGTGAAAGAGCAAGAGGCCCACCTCCCAGTGGTACTGCAGAATTCAATGAGCTAATATTTGTAAAGCACTTAGCATACAACCAGTACACTAAAAACCCCACATAAGCTTGACAACAATTTAAAATAAATCAGTGGATGTCCTGTAAGTGCATGAATCAGAATGACCTTCCACTCTGGAAGGGAAATACAAAGCCATTTTCTGGGGTCACATGAATTTTGTTCCTGAAGACCTTGCCCTCTCAAGGAGATCCTGTGGACCTTGTAGACACTGACTGGGAGGGAGCTGTTATCGTGTCCATGACTGCTCAGTCAGGAGGTCACAGCCATGGGATCCTGGAACTCAGAGCTGAAAGCAGCCACTGTGTCCCAACTAGCCATACCCTGGACCTTGTCCTGTGCACTCTCTTCATTCCCTACCATCTCATCTTCACCCTAATTTTATGAGAGAAGTGCTATTTTTAGGACCAATTTAAAAATAAGAAAACCAGAGTACAGGGAGGTAAAGCATGCTCCTTGGCCGAGCCTCTAAGTGGTTGAGTTGAGATTCAATCAACCCCAGGAAGTTTAGCATGAGCTCCCGAACTCTTCATACCAGGCCTTTTCAGGTTCATGAGTGATGCCTCCATCTCTTGTTCTCATTTTATGTCTTTTTTTTTTTTTTTTTTGGTACCAGGGATCAAACTCGGGACCATGTGCTTGCAAGGCAGGCAGCAGAACCAGAGCTAAATCCCCAGCCCCTGTTCTCATTTTATGAGTAAGGGCCCGAGCCTGCTCCAGGCTGCCCTTGTCCTGACCACTTGATTCCTACTCTTAACACCATCAGCCTCCCGACACCTGGCTCCGAGCTGGAATCACTTTTGAAGACTTCCTCTCTTTCTCCTAATGCAAAAGCCACCAAGGCCTGATACCACTAACTCTGACCATCTCACCGGGTGTCTCACCTAGGCACTTTTCACCAATATCAGCACTAAATTCATTTCCTTCCCGCATAACTCAGCTCACTATCACTCACCAACCTTCTGTAGCTCCCTAGTGCCCTCTGAACTGTAGCTCCCTAGGCCTAAACTGAACACCATGATCTGATGCCAATGATCTTATCTCCCTATATTTTCTGCTCCAGAGAAAAGGAATATGCGTCCAACCGCAGACAGCCCTGGGGGTGCGTGCCCCAGAGGGCAGACCCAAAAGGAGTTCCTGCTGGAGGCTGCAGGTCAGACTGCCCACAGCAGATTCTCCTGCAGGAGGTCTGAACAGGACCCCTGCCATGTCTCAGGACCAGCACTGTGCCACACACTCCTGCATATTTGAACACTGGCTTTTAACCTTTGGCTTCCTTCATGTATCCCACATTCTCCCACCCTTGGCTTCCTTAGCTTAATATGCTTCAACTTCCCCACTGCAGCCCACTGAGGTAGATGCTGTTGGTGATTCACTCATACCCCTTCCTCCTGCAACTTGTCCCTGCACCCCATCCTGACCTTCAACTTCGGCCCCCTTGTTTCTTTGCCTGAGGGTGTCTCTTGCCCCCAAGCTCATTGCCTCATGACTGCAGGGCAGCTCCCAAGGGTGATAGTAAAAGCTGGTGGATACATATGCAGACCCCATAAATAAAAACATCCAGAAGCAGCAAAGAGAGATTTTAGGTTCTCTCCCTATTTTTGCAATAAAGCCAACATTGTGACCACAAGGTCTGCAAGCCTGCCCAGGGTCTGGCAGAGAGTTCCTTTATAGAGTAGTAGAGAAAGCTACAAAGAGCCCAGAGTAGAGAAGTGGGATGTAGGGTGGTGAGATGGGAGAGTGGGTCTCAGTATTTACCCTGAGGCCAGCTTGCTTTGGGAGGGAGCAGGGCATAAAGAGAGGCCATGTGCTCCCTCAGGCTGAGGGAAGGCCAAAGCCAGGGCCTTGAAGAAAGGAAAGTCAAGATTTGGTTAAGGTGCATTTTGTTCTAATCAGTAGTGGGAACATGATGTGCAATTCAGCTAATCATTTATGAAGCAAAGAAAGGAATTTGGAGGGTCTGTGTCTGGGCTTGTCACAAGTAAAGGGAGGGGCACAACTATGAGTCTTATCCAGGTCTTATGGGAAAAGGGATTCTTTGCAGTAAGTTCTTATCCAGAACACAAAAAAGGGCCCGTGACAGGGGCATTTTCATCTCCCTTGAACATGGGACCATCTGTGGCTGTTTTCCCTTCCCCTGTTTAAGCCACACTTCATGATGGCTGCCCTCCCTTTCCTGCCCCCACCCCCCCCGGGCTGCTGTGTCCTGGAATCACCTGCAGAGAAACCAGTCCCTCTAGAATCTGTGCCTCAGGGTCCAGAAGACTCCAAAGTGGGACAGTCACTAAATAAGAGATCTCAGACTCCAAGGACTACATGACCCAGAAAAGCTGGGAGTAAAAGGTCAGGCAGGGGCTGGGAAGAGCTGGGGACTCCTGCATTTTCCAAGGAGGGGGCACCATCTCCCTCCCTGTTCACGAAGCCAATTGTTCACCAAGGCCAGTCTAGGACCAGCTAGATATATCTGTGGTTTTTCAAATGAAGCAAGGTGTCCATAATTATGATTAGAATCAGCTAATTCTTAAAGGTTTGCAAGTAACCAATATTTTTTTTAATACTGTAAGAACCAAACATAATACCCTGGGAACAAATTCTGACTGGGGCCTGCAGGTCACTTCCTTTGGCCTATTAAGCCTCCTCTTTGACCTACCTTGGCATATGAATTTGCATACAGTCATTATCTTTGGCTGAAGATAAAAGGTTGGGAGTTCAGCTCTATCTTGAACCAGTGAGTGAATGGCAGGCAAGAAATCCAGGACCATCAATGTCCTTTGGAAGCCTTTTCCATCACATCGCCACTGATTTAAGAGGAAATTAAACACTGTTTTCTTAGATTATTGTTAGTTTTCTCAGGGTTGATAATGAGGCTACAGTTATCTAGGAAAATATCCTATTTTTAGATTTTGGAGTTTTGTGGGATGTTTTAAAGATTCCTGCTAAAACTTAGAGGTAATAATATACATTTCTACATAACTTTTTAAATGCTAGAGCAAATGTGATAGTTAAATCTGGATGATGGAAGGTGGGTGGTCATTAGATAAGTAGTATATTGTTTACTTTTCTGTGTGTTCACAATTTTGTCATAACGAAAAGTGGGGGATTGGGAGGATGTCTTGTAAAAAAAAGAGGTTCCCAAGTTAAGGAGTGATGAGAATGCCCCCTCCTCCTTCCTCACCTCTCACCTTAGCCTGGTAGTTCCTGGCAATGGGGAGGGTGTCTCTGACTAGGAAAGAAGTTGCTGGCTTCTCTGGCCACCGGGTTTTGCATATGGCAGACTCTCCCCCCCCCCCGCCCCCCGGGCTTTTCCAGATACAGACAGCTGTGAGCGATGGATGAGCTGCAGAAGCGAATTCCTAAAGAAGTATATGCACAAGGTGATCAATGACCTGCCCAGCTGTCCCTGCTCTTACCCCACCGAAGTGGCCTACAGCACAGCGGACATCTTTGACCACATAAAGCGCAAGGACTTCCGCTGGAAGGATGCCAGCGGGCCCAAAGAGAAGCTGGAGATCTACAAACCCACAGCCCGATACTGCATCCGGTCCATGCTGTCGCTAGAGAGCACCACGCTGGCTGCCCAGCATTGTTGCTATGGTGACAACATGCAGCTTATCACCCGGGGCAAAGGGGCGGGGACACCCAATCTCATCAGCACGGAGTTCTCTGCTGAACTGCACTACAAGGTGGATGTGCTGCCCTGGATCATCTGCAAGGGCGACTGGAGCAGATACAACGAGGCTCGGCCACCCAACAATGGGCAGAAGTGCACTGAGAGCCCCTCAGACGAGGACTACATCAAGCAGTTCCAGGAGGCCAGGGAGTACTGAAAGGATGGTGAGGTACATGGGTGCCACCTCTGGTTTGGGGGCACAAACATACTGCTCTGATCACCCAGGTCTTCCAGTGTGTTTAAGTGTATATTTGTATATACCACGTGAGTTTTTATGAATTACACAAGGGGTGTGCACCAGGCCCGCACAACCACCATGGGAAGCCACCCTTACCATGCACAGACCTCCATGGAGGTGGCCATGTGGGCAGAAGGCCGGGACACCACAGCAGCCAGAAGAGGAACCTGGGAGGCTTGTGGGTGTGATCCAGTGTTTCCAGACACGGAAAGGAGGAAAGAGACTGAAGCTGTAAACATTATAGCAGTTTTTATATATAACTTATTTAATACGAATGTGACTTAAGCTTAACCTTTTCTCTGGAGTTGTCATTGTAAAGCTATTTAATCACTTCTGCGAGAATCAGATAGAGCAGGGCCTAGGGAAGTGGAAGAGAAAAGGAATTTTGCAATGGTTTCCTTACAAAGAAATAGTGCAATGGAATCGTATCAAAACAAGAAAACACCCACTTTAAATCAAATGTTATACAGTCATACAGCACCTTGCTGGAGTCTCAGATTCCAAATTTCTCTTGCCTCAGACTGGTTATTTTTAGGGGCAAATCTGAGCCCGGTTTTTAAATAGGCTTTAAAATAAAAGACGAATGTTAGCATAGTCTATGATTTTACTAAAAGGCCCCCAAACAGTAAAATTTCTGCTCAAGTCTTAGTAAGTTCAGAAGATCACAGGAAGTTCAGACATAAAAGGAGTAGCACTTTTCCAGAGGTAAAAAGCGTAAGAAGTGCAAAAGGAATATGACCTCATTTCATCTAACAATTTTTTTCCACTAGTATATCCCCAGGAAATAAAGTATAAAAAGGGAAGGGGGGAGCTGAAGTCTGGGAAATCCTAATTTTTTTATGTTTTAAGAAAGAAGAAAACTGTGTTATTTTTGTAAAGTATTTATTGAGTCAGTGGGTCTTGTGCATCAAATAATTGTAAGATGATCTGGTTCCATAGGGTAAAACTTAGGATAAATAAAAAGTGGGTTCCTATGCAATATCTTACATGCAAAACTCCAGGAAAAGAGATTATATAATAAAATCATAATAAAATGTGTTACCTGCATCCTTGATTTATGATACAAGTACCATGAATAGCCTTAGTAAAGCAAGCCAGGAGAGAGAAAATTCAACCCAGGTGATAATGAAAGGCTCATTGATTGACACAGTAGTGCCTGGTGTAAGTCAGCATCTTTGCACTGATAGTGTCTATCCAGCCCCCAAGTGGCTGAAACCCATTGACACACATGTGGCTATTTCTCCACACAGAGCTAAGCAAACCAAACCAGAGCAGTGGCTTAAAACAGCTCAGGTGAACAAGGCCACTTTCAAACAAAATTCTGCAGTTACAATAATAAGCAGAATTGCTTTATCATGCAAATTATTCCTTTTCTAGATAACAAACCAAAGCTCAAAAAAAATCACATTGCACTCATCTTTCATTTTCTAGCCCGGTGCTCTTCCTACAGAAAAAAAAAAAAAAAAAGATGAGATTTTTGGTGTTCTTATATGCTGAACATCTTTGGTAATCTTGACCTGAACCTTAAGTTCTCTACATAAAAATCTTCTTATGAAAAATCCCTTACCAGTCACTTTAGTATGAATTATTTACACTTTAGATGTACTTCCCTAAATGCATTAAGATATTTATATTTAGGATCTTTATTTAATTATGGAATGAGGAGCCTTATTCACATATGAAGGAATCTTACGCAACTGAACTAACACAGGATCAATGGGTCTGTATATCAGGGAAGCAGACTTGGTTTCTGATACTCGGAGGACAACTATTTTTTCAAAACAAATAGGCTAGTAGCAGGATGTATTGGCTTTGATATGAGGAGTTCCCTAGCAGGACATACACCGAAGCAGAAAATGTAGATGAGATGGATGGGAAGCTGAATTGAATAATAAGAGACAAAAACATTCAGCAGTGAGAGCCTCTGATGAATGTTCTAGCTAGAGTTGAAGGATAGATAGTTGAAAGGAAGTTCATAACTGAGATAATGGTAAGTGATACAAAGACAGATTTTTGATCACACTCATATGATGTTGAGACGATGCTAGTTGTAACTCTCAGAATCACAGTGCTTTACACAAGAGTCTGATGAGTATGTTCCCGGCTAAGTGGCCCTCTAAGTAGTGACCTAGGGTCCAGGCTCCTTTTATCTGTCACTCTACCATCATCAAGGTGCAACTCTCTAGGATTCCCTGAAGGTCATCTCCATTACAGATTGCTGAAAGGGTGAAGAGCAGGGAGAATATATGCAAAGCTTTAAGTCAGGCAGCAAAGTACTATACATCACTCCTCACTCTCTATGGCTCTGCTATGTGTCACACCATTCCATAATGGTGACGAGCCACTTGGGGGTCCAGGAAGCAGAAATAGACTCTGTGAGCACTGCCCCAGAAGTGGACCACAAGTGCCTTGGTTATACTTGGCAGGAAAGGAAGCAGAAGGGTCTCTGCATGGATCCAAAGCAAGTGGTCAAAGGCAGAGATCCTTCTCACCTCTCCCATCTTCCATGTTATATTGTAGTGTTCAGCTGCACCTCATTTTCCTGATTTGCAAACTGGGATAAGACCTCCCTACCCTACCTAGATGTTGGCAGGTGTGTTTGATGTCCCCCAAACCCTTCGGTATTTCTAATACCTGTTCTGCTTAGTCCAACTTACAACCAGAAGCTCCCAAAAGCCTGTTCCTGACAACTCACTCCTCCCTGGATCCCACCTGGCTTGCACAGAAGTAGACTGGAAGTACAGGGGAATTATCATCCCAGGAGCATTGAACAGCTGACTGATAGGCACTCAGTGGACAAATAGCTCTCTAACTCCTAAAGCAGTGCAATTATGAAGTGGTACCATTTTATACCCAGTGGTACAATTATTTTATCCCCAGTGGAACTGAGTTCCTCCCATTGGGTGGTTGTGGTGGTGCTATCCTTGCTAACACATACTTTATTGGCTTTCTCCCCTTCTCTGTCTCTCTTCCCTACTTCCCTACTAGAATTTACTGAAATGAACCCACAAATCATCTCCTTGTGCAGATTCTTCTATCTGGGGGAGCTTTTGAGGGATTTCCAAAATAACATTACTTCATGCTTTAATGTTTATTGATTGCTTTTCAAAGTAATCATAGCTGGGCGTGGTGCCACACACCTTAACCCCAGCATTCTGGGAGTTTGAGCACAGCCTGGGTAAGTTGATGATTTAGCAAGACCCTCTCTCAAAATACAAAATTTAAAAAGGGGAGAGGATGCAGCTCAGTGCAAAGGCCCTGGATTTAATCCCCAGTAACATGGGGGAAAAAAGTCTATTATGATTGTCATCTCAGGAATTTAAAGATAAGGTTTTGTTTTAGATCACAGATCTACCAAAAAAGAAAAATCAACCTCATTCTGGCCAGAGATATGAGCTCTACTAGATTTCAATATTGCTGATGTTTTTACACAGTAAAAATTACCTCCCAAATTAGATTCAACAGCAAGAAAATTACTGTACCAAATACCTCTATTATTCAGATTTTCATCATTGTGAACAAATACTTGAAAAAAAACAACCTAAAGGAGGAAAGGTTTATTCTGGCTCATGATTTCAGAGATTTCATTCCATGGTCAGGGGACTCCATTGCTTTTAGACCCGTGGCAAGGCAGAAACATCATGGTGGAAGGACACAACAGAGAAAAGCTGCTCACCTCATGGAAGCCAGGAAGCAGAGAAGGAAACAGCCAGAGCAGAAGGAGCTGGAAATAAGATACACCCTTCAAAAGTGTGGCCCCAGTAAGCTACTTCCTCCAACTGGGCTCCGCCTCCTAAAAATTCAGCTATAAACTCATCAATGGATTAATCCACTGACAAAGCCAGTGCCCTCATGATCCAATCACCTCTGAAGATTGCTGTATTGGGGAATCAAGCCCTCAATACATGAATCTCTGGGGGACACTTCACAGTGAAAGCATAAACTCTACAAGTTTTTAAACACTTTAATTTTAGAATTCATTTCCTTGCGGACTATAGATAAACCAGAGCTACTCCATGCCCACAGTTTCCTCAAGTCCCCTGAGTGACAGTGATCAAAACCTTAGGAGCATCAATTCTGTCCTGATATACACAGAGTCCTGCAAAACTTTCCAGGAAATAGGGTTTGGGAGGAGAGGACAGGACGAATTGCTCTCTTTGTAAAACATTTACAATTTCCAATGGAAAAATGTGTGGGTCATTACCATTATCCCTGCACAATTTCAGACAAATTAAAGGCTTGCCTCAGTAATTACTAGGTGGGTATATTCAGAAACATACATCCATGTGTACAGATCCTGCACACAGTAGTGCAAAGTAAGGCAGAAAGTTTACAGACAGTTGCTTTCCTGAGGTTTAGAGTTGTTTTACCATATGGGATTAGAAGAGGGATATTTTCTAGGATCAGGAGGTAAGATTTATTGGAACAAATTTATGAGACTAAAAGCTCTTTGTTGAATCCTACCAAAAGAACAACCCTTAGATACAGATAATTTTTTTTTAGATCTCCAATATACAAAGACCAGTGCTTTGCCTGTAATGGCAAAAATAACATCATCCTTAGCCATTTTAGTGGCAGGGGAATTGGCAAGGGACTGCTGCAATACACAAGACACAGCTGCAATAGCAAAGCTGGGTAAGAATTTTATGACTTTGCTAATTTTCTATCTGTTCTGGGAGTAATAAATACACCCTTATAGATATTCATGATTGCCCTAAAAATGAAAAAAATCTTCTAAATGGCACAGAAAAGTCTTTCATTCTTGAGGTATGTAATTCATGGATGATTTTCAAAATGTCATGTTTGAATTGGGAAAGTAACATTTCTTGAATTAATCAGCCAATTGCTTCAAGAATATGACTCAAAGGATATAAAAATTTCAAGTCTTACTTTTTTAAAAGAAAGAGGAATTTTTTTCTATGCAGTTAAGTTTATTTTTCACAAAGGTCATGGCTAAATCTTAGATTTATTTGCCATAGAAGAGAACTGTCTAAATGAAATACGCCTTTCATTGCTTAGTCAAAGGGAATTTTAGCAAATTTTAACAAGCACTACTTCAAATTTTTCTACCACTAGACATGTACTTTCACTTTTTGTAGTGGTATCCTCCTCTTGCCCCTTTGCATTCAACTTTTCTGGTCCTTTATATTTTGGGGTTTCTTTGTTGTTGTTTTTTGTTTTTGTGGATTTTTTTCTTTTATCTTTGGAGAGCTTAGTAAATGGAGAAGGAGAAAAGAAGGGAATAGCAAAAAAAAAAAAAAAAAAAGCCAACGTCTTCCAGAATGGAATTCTGACTCATTGCTCCTGCTTATCAACACAAATAAAAAATCAGAGAGAGAGAGACAGAGAGACCCAAGAAGCCGTCACATCTTCCCCACAGGGTTACAATAAAGACCTCCAGGAAGGGATTTGCAAAGGCCTGAAGTCTCAGGGCCACTTTGTGACTGGGGTTCCTTCAATCCAAACAGAGTATTGTGTTCTGATCTGGTTACTATGGAGGGTAGGACTTTCTGTCAAGAATATTTCAGGCTTCTCACCTAGTATCCCAGAGTGGAGATCAGGGCCACCTGCACTGTGTCTCAGGAAAAAGCCCACCACTGAGCCCCTCTTGAGCATTCTCTCCTGTGATTAAAGGATGGGGAGACAATATGCCAGATAAAGGCTGCTTCACACCACTCACCTGTAGCAAATGTTGAAAACTGGATGTTGACATAAAACTGGCAAATCTACTTTCTGTTCCACTCCTGCCTGCTGTTTCTACACCACCCCATACAATCACCTTCCCCACAACTCCTCCAGTTGTTATATAACTGACATTTCTATAACCAACTGACCATTCTTTGGGTCAATCTTTTTTTAAAAAAAAATACTCTTTCAATACTGTATTAAAGTATAACTTACATTCAGAAAAGTGCACACATTCAGTGCAAGCTTAATGAATTTTTACAGAGTGAACACACCCATGTAACCAATAGCCATAAGTAAGGCTGAAAAATAGAACATAAGGCTTATGAGGGAGCTCTCTGGGATGGGGTGAC